AGTGATACAGGCAGTCAGTGATGGAAACGATTTGTGATGCTGATGCAAGCAACTGCTGATGCTAGTAATCGCTGATGCTAGCAATCGCTGGTGCTAGCGATCACTGATGCGAGCAATCCCTGATGCTGGCAATTAGTGATGCTTCAATCGCTGATGCAAGCAACTGCTAATGCTAGCAATTGCTGGTGCTGGCAATCACTTATGCTAGCAATCCCTCATGCTGGCAATTAGTAATGCTTCAGTCGCTGATGCAAGCAACTGCTGATGCTAGCAATTGCTGATGCTAGCAATCGCTGATGCTAGCAATCGCTGATGCTAGCAATCCCTGATGCTGGCAATTAGTGACCCTTCAATCGCTGATGCTAGCAATAATTTATACTACACTGTAACGCCTGCATTACTAGTATAAGGCAAATTGTGGGACCCGTCTATGCAGACAAAATAAAGATGATTATGCCATGGTAGATGGATGTATGTCTTCATAATTGTTGTAATTTCAAAGATGGGTCAGCACTTAAACAGGTCAAATGAGTCAACATGGTTCAAAGTGTTGGAGGAGTAAGTAGCAGGTAATTGGTTCATGTTGGACTTCTTAATATACTCTACAGGAGGAGTGATTCCAAACCCAAACGCATCATCATGTTTGAAAATGTCATAATGATGGAGAGCAGTGCTGTATTCGAGTCCATCACAAGTCCCTGAAAGTCCACCACAAGTTATTCGGTCTTTATAAGCCAATTCACAAGCCATTCAAGTGAGCTGAGACAAAAACAATCTTTTGTCATTGTTCACCCTGTAACTTATGACTGGCCTTGTGAAGGGACTTGTGACTGGCCTTGTGAAGGGACTTGTGACTGGACTTGAGAAGGGACTTTTGATGAACTCGAATACAACACTGCTGATGGAGTGAAGCAATCATAAACTAGGATCTTCATTTGTCATACAGTATCACCAGCATGATATGATCATTTCTGTTACACATCTATCTTGTCTCACTGGAAATGTATTCCTGTTTCCACTGATTGAAAACGTATTTTTGTAGCCACTAACTTGTTCATTATACCAACATCACTTTTCTCATTTACAGTTACAAAACAATTGACATTTTTGCATCTGTCTCGTTGTCTGCCAGCTTTTATTAGTAGGAATAATCCTATGATGCAGCAACAGACACCTCTCATTTGTGGAGCAGAATACCATTACAATAAGTTCAGAAGAAAGCTTCATTGCAGTGGTACCATGCTCACATGCAAGTGGTCCATGCATATTACATTCCTCTTCCACTGTAGGGTGTTAGCAACTTGCCAAAATGCACTTGTACCTCAGTGAAAATAAACACACACACACAAAGGCATGAGATTCCAAAACCATAGAAACTGTCATATGGTCATTGTCATTTGATAATATTATCAGATAGAATTGTGAATAAAGAATGCGTATATGTATCTTGGTTGTACTTCAGTGGCGAGAGGAGAGTAAGGTTTTAGGAAACCAACATGTAAAGGTGGTTGATTTTTACAGAGGTAAGTGCTTAGTTTTTGCAAGTTTGAGAATCATGCACAATTAATGTTGAAGTGAAATCACCAAGAGATGAATATATGCAGCAGGTCCAACCAAGAGTTTCTTGGTTTGATGTTTCAACAGTTGCTTCTACCAGCATGTAAGGATGCATAGTGTTGCTGCTATTTTTCCAAGGATGGGTAATGTTTTATTTTTGTCACTTAACAAAGTTCAGGTTACATTACTTAATCAACTGAGAAAAAATAAAATGAATCATTCAATTGATAATTCTTGGCATGTTTAGGAAGGAATGCATTTCAATATCCTAGAGACTGCATGATGCTAGACTATGTAAATTGTGAAATGTACATTACATATTTGCTGTTGAAAAGGGCAAATTACTTTTTACATTTCTGTATTCTAAAGTTAATGTCACTTCAAAATTAAAGTCATTTTAAGAAATTGAGTACATGTGTAATTAGTAATATGCTCATGTTTTCATAGTTGCATTATTTTAATGCTGCATTTTGTTTCGACACTTTTTAATGTATTGCCTTTCATATAAATATATAAAAATAAATGATTTCATATATTTATTATTTAAAGTATTATTTGATATGTCAAGGCAATACAAGCCAAGTATTAGTGATGCACTTTTTGGTCAAGTTAACAGACACTTTGATCATGACACCACAGGGTAAGATCAGGGAGAGAAACAAAACAACTCTTACATATTTTGGTATGTTTGAAGTATTAAATGTTGCTTATTTCTATTGTTTGTGGGGTGGTTTGAAGCTATAAGTAGTGTTAGATTTAATGTATTCTCATCATTTTTATTTCAAGTTCCTTTTCTGTTATAAAAATTCACACAAGCATTTATTGGAGAATTGGTAACACACACCAAGCTCACCAATGTGAAAAATTAGTAATACAGTTAGTCCTAGACAGTAACAGTGGAGTGCTGCATGTTTGAAGGCCAATGCAAACAAGAAACTTTTGCATTCCATTTATTATTTTTGGCTGCATTTTCTAACATCATGATATTAATAACTAGTTGCATATGGGCATTACAAACCCTACTGCCCTCTGAACAAGTGCATGTACCGTTGATCAGCAACACTAAAAAAATCAAATGCAGTGTTTGAAACTGTACAGAGGGTGTGGTGTCAGAAAGATACCAGTTTTTGTGGGAAAACAGTCGATGACTGCCATGGGTAGGGACAAGATGGTCATGTTCTGTACAGCAGCCAACCCTGTCAATTGATCTTGTTGCTTCAAAGATGGAAAGAACTTACTGACAAGAATTTGTGTCGCAGATCTGTATCCTGCTAAATGGAGATTATTGTTAATCTCCCTGATCTTAATTTACAGACGTCAGTTTAATGTAGCACTGAATTTCGCAGATTGCTTGGCAAAGGGCTGTTTTAAGCAAGCTGTTCCAACGTGATGTGTGATAAAAATCCTAAAAGCCCTTCTGCTGGGCACATTGTTCGGGGTTTTGTTCATGACTGGAGTTTTCAGAAAAAGATCTAAGAATAATGTCAATGTGATGATCAAGAATGCAAACCATGAAAAATATGACACTGGTGCTCATTAATGTCTATGATACTGGGAATTATTTTAAATCTTCCATTTAGTTGATACTAATAAATGATGCACTTTGAGGGGAATTTGTGATTGTTAGATTTTGCCAGATTTTCACTCCCTTGTAAATTTGTTGACCAAATAGATGTGGTTGTGTGTCGCGCTGTATCTCTGTATCACATAAAAAAGTAAGGCAGCACTTGCTATGACCAACAACAAAAGTTGACATTATCTTTTATATTCAACGATCAGATGCAATTAAGTAGGAAATCATTGCACAGTACACATTTATGAATGTGCAGGCTTAACCTATGGTCTCAATCAGTTAGTGTATGTGACCAAAAGCCACAGGGACACTGAAGGACATGTTTTTGTTTTGAAATACCTAACAATGACATAAATAGTCAAGATGAATGAAGCCTTACTTTGAGACCACCAAAAAATAAATCTCTAAAGCCATGAATCAACATTCTGACGAGGAAACTTTGAACATTACAAGTGAACTGCCTAGAAGGCTCAGTATAATCCATGGTCCAATGAAGGGACTATGTCTTTCATCTTATGGGAGAAAGCGTGGACCATGGTAAGCATTACTAAAACTGTGGTTGAGCCGCTCTTCCCTGACAGTTGCTCTGTACAAAACATAGCATCATACTTTGTGTCATTTACAGGGTCATCGGGAATGCTTTTCTGCTCATACTAAAGATAAGACGCATGGCCAAAAAAAAAACAAAAAAAGGTTGAATTCCATAGACAAACAGAAATACTTGAATTATGAGGCTACACACAGCAAACTCATGTTTTCCAAGATTTTATTAAAATAATATCTATAAATTACGTTTTCCATTTTATTTCTCATAAAACAGCACATTGTTTTCATCATACTTGGACAAAGTTGGCCTACAGTCCAATCTGCAGTGATACAGTAAGTAAAGCAGGCAGAAAAATCAGGATATATCAAGGTAATTGGTCCGTGTAGGTGTAAATCTGTTCATTATGCAGGTTTAAGATGAGTATATGGTCAACCCTTCAACAAAACATTCACACTTAAGTTGATTTTAAAATTCAGGAAATATTGCCTACCAAGCATAAGCAATATTTCTATGCCTTTGAAAATGTCTTACAATCTATAACATTGGCTAATTACAATTTTCTTTTACAAAGCAATGTGTCAAATTTAATACTTTTTAGATAAAGCTAGTTGAAAATGACTGGCACTGACCATTCAAAGAGAGGTTTAGCACTATGATTTAAGATGCACAAGTACATCCAAATGAAATAAGTAAATCTTCTATTCACTAAAGCCTAACCAACTAAAACTCACAAGGCAACATCTGTAGACACTCGCCATAACACCGACAAAAATGATATTAATATCCCAGACGAACTCTGTGTGCTGTAATTAGTTCATTAAGATACTGACTTTTTTTGTCATTAAGCTGCCTTGCTGTACGGCATACCTGGTTGTTGTTGGCCTTTAATATACATTACAATTATGTGCGCATGACAACACCTTTCAAATAAAGTTACATTTCATTGGACACAGATTCAGCTTCTGATAGCAAGAATCATTCTATTTCTACACAGACCAATGCTGCCAATTTCTTCCCTCCAAGAGAGCCAATCAGTCATGCTAATGCATGTAACAAGCTTTCAGTTTTGCTGTAACTATTTTCCCAATGAAATATAAATGAAGCCTGTTAACTGCGATACAAAAGCTCCATTGCAGTAACATCAGCATTTTCTAATTCATGTAGTAACAGATGTTGGCAAAATACTAAAAAAAAATCACACTGATTATCTGTGCAAATGTCCATTAAAACTATTAATGATTTATTAATGCTTAATTTTTCTAGAAAGATTTATGAACAAAGGACAATGTACGCTTTTGCATCTACAACATAGTCCTTCATTGTTTTGAAAGTATACCAATGTCTGCGGCATTCAGCGCCCGCCGATTATCAGCGGGGACAAAAGTGCTCCAGCACTCCAGCAATGAGCAATACAGTACCACTGCATGCTCATCTGGCAACACACTGGGCCAATTTCGGGAACAAGGAAAATTACGCAACACCACACAATCTGGGCTCTCTTTACTGGGCAGCAGGCCTGGCCATTTGATGCGAAATACAGACAGAGAGAACCCCCCCCCCTTTTGTGTTGGTCATTGTTACACTGGTATCTCAGGAATTCTTTTCAGACATCTGGGGGATGTGTTAAGTGACAATAGGCTGGAGTGTTTATAGGGATTGGACTTCTTGTTGGGGGGTACCCCTCTGTCCCATTTTGTGCCTGGTATAGGCCTGGCTGCAAAACTCAGGTGTCAATGGACATTGCCTGTCAGATTAGAGTAGCCACCAAACAGTCATTTGTGTAGGTGTAAGCATCCAGTAAATGAAGTTATGATTTTTTAAGAATTCTGAAAACGGAAAATCTTGAAAATCGCCCGAGAACTTGTTCCGCATATGCAAATTCCACCCGGCAGGAAGTGGTTTTAATGTTCACAGAAGCATTAGATTTGTTACTGGAAAGT